ATTGTCTTGTGGTCTACTTATCAAAGAAATTAGATCTAGTGGCTGGTGGATAGCCAGCCTGCTTGAGAATTATTGCAGCCACTGCCCTACTAACTAAAGACTCTAGCAAACTGACTCTGGGACAGAAATTGATTATTACCACCACCACCCATGCAATAGAGAGCCTATTAAAAAGTCCGCTGATCAATGGATAACAAATGCCAGGTTAACACATTACCAAGCTCTCTTGCTAAACCAATAGAAACCCTAACTAAATAGTTAGGGTTTCTATTGCTGTGAAGAGACATCATGACCCTGGCAACTCTTCTAAAGGAAAACAGTTAATTGGGTGGCTTAAAGTGCAGAGGTTCAGTCCATTATCGTCATGGCAGGACACAGCAGTGTGCAGGCAGGCACGGTGCTGGGATGTCCACTCAGAGAGCAGAACTGCTATCTCTGGCCCAGGCTCTCAGATTAGGGAAAGGAATGACTGTTAACATTTACACTGACAGCCGATATGCCTTTGCAACCATACATGTGCATGGGGCTGTTTACAAGCAAAGAGGACTCCCAACGGCAGAGAGTAAGACCGTTAAGAACAGAGAGTTGCCGGGCGGTGGTGGCGCACGCCTTTAATCCCAGCACTCGGGAGGCAGAGCCAGGCGGATCTCTGTGAGTTCGAGGCCAGCCTGGTCTCCAAAGCGAGTTCCAGGAAAGGCGCAAAGCTACACAGAGAAACCCTGTCTCGAAAAACCAAAAAAAAAAAAAAAAAAAAAAGAACAGAGAGTTTGGGCTTGCTGTCCGCCCTATGGGACCCCAAGCAGGCCTCCATGATTCACTGCCTTGGATATCAGAAGGGAAACTCGCAAGAGGCAGAAGGCAACCAGACGGCTGACCAGAGACAGCCAAAGGAGCGACCTGATGTCTGCCAGGCACTGCACTGGTGCCCTCTCCGCACCAGAGCCGCCAGAGTTCCCCACATACTCTGCTGAAGAGGATGACTTTTTCCAAAAACTTCCCAATACCTCCCTCAAGAAAGGATGGAGGGATATGTCAGATGACAGAATCATTCTTCCCCAAGTCCTCGGAAGAACTTCAGCTAAACAACTTCATGAAGGTACACACCTGGGTAAGACTAAGCGAGCCTTTCCTTTAAGCAGGGCAACACCTTAGTCCCTCCCTAAACCCAATATACTGTTTATATATTAGTCCCAATATACTTAGTCCCTCCCTAAATCCAAGATACTGTTTCCAAGTGACCTGCCTGGCTATAAATTCTGCACCTCAGACCGATTGGAAATAAGGAAAAAGGGAAAGAGGTATGGCACCTGGAGGTTTTTGGGAGGTTGACTTCATTGAGGTAAGATCAGGATGTTATGGGTACAAATACTTCCTCGTGTTTGTGGGTGCCATTATAGATGGACTGGGGCTTTCCCAGTTAAAAGAGAAGCAGCTCAGCTTGTTGTCAAGAAATCGCTTGAAGAAATCACTCCTAGATTCAGAGTTCCAGCTGCCATAGGATCAGACAGTGGACGGCCTTTCTATCTCAGGCGGTCCAAGGGATCACTGAGGCCCTGGGGGGTAAATTGGAAACTTCACGGTGTTTATCACCCCCAAAGTTCAGGATAGATAGAAAGGATGAATCAGACCCTAAAGGCGACCTTAAGTAAATTAATCTCGGAGACTGGCAAGGACTAGATGGCACTACTTTGCTTTTACCCCTCCTCTGGGCTAGAAACACCCCTTATATGGAGGGGAGGGCCTATGAGATAATATTTGGAAGGCTCCCTCCAATTTGCCCAAAACTCTGGTCTGATCTAATTGCTGAAGTATCTAATTTTGCCTAACTCTAGTCAGTACAGGCACTACAAAGAACTCAGGACAGATTACCCATTGCTCTGCCATCTGTATGACCTGTCGCCTGTCAAACCACATGACTACCAACAAGGAGATGGAGTCTGGGTGAAACATCATAAAAAAAACTCTGGGTCCTCACTGGAAAGGTCCTCACATTGTGATTCTGACTACCCCAACTGCAGTCAAGGTCAATGGTGTCAAGCCCTGAATTCATCATTCCCAGGTCAAATCCCCCTCCAATCAAGAGCCTGAGAGGTCAACAATTGACCAGGAAAGGTCTTCTGAGATCCTGAGGACCCTCTAAAGCTAAGACTCAGCTCCCAGCCCTCCTAATAACTCTTTTGCTATCCAGTTTGGGAGGGGGGCAATACCCAGGGCTCTATCAGCCCAAGCTATATTTATCTGGGGGCTGTCAAATACTTAAACAGGACAGATCATTTCAGAGATACGTCAGCAGACATACATCTCAGGCCCTAAATTTAAGTTAGACCTTTGTACCCTATGGCCTACTGGGAGGGGTCATCCTCTATGTCCCCCGCAAGAACATAGAGAGTAGCAGGCCCATTGGACAGAAGCAACAAAAAAGTGCTGGGACAAACAGTATTATGTCTGTTCAGCAGAAAAGGGGTCCACCTGTAGCACTGAAGGCTAATTCCATTGTGACCACTGGGGGTGTGAGACCTGGGCCCTAGGATGAGGAGATAATAGGATGAACACACAGATAGCCAGATGGAAAAAAAATCTTGTGCCATCCCCAGGACATGCAATCCTTAAATCCATTGCCTAAACTTTAACCAACAGGTCTCACCTCTCCCTTTTAGATGGGACACAGAGCTAACCAGGGGACTCAGGGCATACCAGATAGGCAAAGACACAGGCATGGAGTTCACCATCCAGAACTATCTTTGCTTAGTCCTCCTAGACTCCTGGGACCTCTGGTCAAAATAAAGGATCAACCACCATCTCTCCCCACAGAAAAGAACCAGGCATATGGGGTCTCAACCACTGCCAGTCCCAACTGGGGAGGCCAAAGAGCACCCCCTTTCCGCCTTCAGATCCTCTCAATTGCAGGTTCGCCTTTGTTTGGGATAGTCAATGTTACTGATGCCTATTTGAATGCCACTCATCCTAAACTCACAGGTGACTGCTGGCTTTGTCTAGACCCCACACCTCCCTACTATATCAGGATCGCCCTCAAGGAAAGTTCTGACCACCCCCCATCCACCATATAAGCAGTCTCTCTTGCATCCTCACAATTTTTTTGTCCTTGGACCTCCACCCTGACTCTGGGGACCTCTGGGGAGAAGGAACCTGTTTTCACTCTTCCAACTACCCTGCAGCAGCATCACCCTACTCGTCAGTTTGCAAAAACTCCGACACCAAGCTCTCCCTAACACCAAGTGGGCTGCTCTAAATGACATCACCCTTTGGGCTGCTCCTACATCAACTTGGTTTTCTTGTACCTTTGGCTTAACACCCTGCCTCTCTCTAGGGCATTTCACGGAAAAGAAAAACCCCGAGCTTTGTGTGTTGCTTCATATTGTGCCTCAAGTCCTGTTTTATGAGAGGGAAGTGGGAAGGATGCACATGGGAACCACAGGCTTGCTGTACACCAGAGAGCACCTCCCATCCTTGTCCCCCTCACAGGGTCAACAACCATTGGGATGGCAGGCTGAGTCACTGGGCACCGCAACCTACAGATCCTGTGTGAATAAACGGACAGAGATACCACCTCCATTCCTGAAGAATCAAGTTGACTCCCTGGCTGAGGTGGTCCTACAGAACCGCCGGGGGCTGGACCCACTTTTCTTTGAGGAGGAAGGTTTATGGATGGCTTGGGGAGAGACACGTTGCTTTTATGTCAACCATTCAGGTATTATTAGAGAGGCTCTAACAAAAGTTAAAGAAAATCTCTGCGTTAGGGAGGAGGAAAGAAAACAAAGAACTGGTTTGAATCACTTTTCAACTGGTCCCCTGGTTGACAACCCTCGTCACAGTCTGACAGGTCCCCTGATCCTTTTCCTTGTTCTGTTATTTGCTCCTGAGTTATATCTGCCTTTGCACACTTAGTTCAGGATCTCACAGGAACTGTCAAACTCACGACTTTAAGAACCCATTACACCAACCCCTTGTTTGAGACCCAGCATCATGAGGATTCATCTCATTAGTCACAAGACAAGGCAGAGATGTTGAGAATAGACAAAAGAAACGTAGCCTAAGTACTGCCATTTTGCTTCAGACTCCATTTTCATCACAAGGTGAAATTAAGATCAAGTTCCCAGGCCCTGGGGGAGCGGGGGACTTTCTAGTAGCTGATCAGCTTCCTCATTAAACAATAAAAATAGCCTGCAAAATGTTATTTTTCTGCTGTTCCCCACAAATAATAGCTGTTTCTAATCACAAAGAACAAATGAATTTGATTGGTTGTACATTTGACATAGACCAACCACGTAAGGAAAGTCCTTAATCCCTGAATTTTGTTTGGTGGAGAACTGTAACTATAACTCGGCATAGAAGGTTGTGGGTTTGTGCTTAAATACTGTCTGAAATGAACGTTTGGGGACGCGGTTAGCTCCCGGGTCTGTGCTATCGCCCCTGACCATTCAGTTTCTTTCCCTTTTCCTCATTTTCCTGCTGCCCAATTCAATAAAAATCTTGCTTTGTGTGGGCTGTGGTGCCTGCTTAGGTGATTTCAGATTCTCGGACCCTAACAAGACCACACACTCTCTGGCTTGGCCCAAGGTCTGTAAGCCAGGCGAAGATTGGTTTGTCTTCAGCAAATAGCGTCACTTCATGAGGACACTGAACACCAGCCAACAGGAACAGCAAACTCTTACCAAACAGCCAAGACCAAACATCACTGACTGTGTGCCATGTCTGGCTAGAACGTGGGACAGAATATTCTGATTGATTTTAGCTTTCAAAGAATAATAAAATATGAAAACCTTGAGCCACCCCTCACTCCCCACCTCCCCAACACCCCCCACCCCCCCAACACCCCCAGCCCCAAAGCAGGACTCAAGTAGCCTCATATGACTCTGAGCTCATGTGTGGCTGAGGATGCCCTTTAATATCTGATCCTTCTACCTCTACTTCCCAAGAACTGGGATTGCAGGCATATGCCACCACACTCAATCTTTATTTAATTTTTATTGAGATAGGGTCACTCTACATACCTCTGACTGTTGTGGAACTCACAGAGATCCCCCTGCCTCTGCCTCCTTCAAGGCATGTGCCACCACACTCAGCCACACCAACTTTTAAGTGGTGCTGGGGATTGAACCCAGGGTTCCATGTAATGCTAGGCAAGCACTCTGCCAACTGAACTACATCCCCAGCCCTGATACGGGATTTTTTCTTATATTGGCGGAACTAAAAGCAATTCCTTGAAGGAGCTGAGAGGAAGATCTTCCTGAATTCCGCTAATGGGCGCCCTTCAGGTTGTCCCCCTTGACCCTCAGGATAGTACCAGGAAAGGAGCCAGAAGCAGGGGATGCTGTTGGCAGGAAGTGACACGTTTGCTCTCAGCTGGAACCAAGATGCAAGAGGTGCACAAAACAGCTGGAACACTGGGTGGGAGATGTGCCCACGGCTGCCCAGACCACTAAGGAGTGCCGCCTACCTCTCACATGGGGGGCGTCCACTAGCCCTTCTCGGATGTCTTGATCACGTGGGCCTTCTTAGTCTTATTCTTTCTTGCATAAAAGAAATAGAGCATGTGCCCAGTGGTCACAAAGAGCATGGAGAGGAAAACCAGCATGCCAAACTGCTGCGGCCTCGGGGCCAGCATGACCAGGACGAAGTGAATGAGGTCCATGAGGTAGTTCAGAGAACACTGCACACCATTCACAGCCCCTCGCTCCGCTTCTGGAATGTTCTCCTGGAGAAGCTGAGTCACAGTGAGGTCGAAGGACCAGAGGCCTACAGGGCGGTCACACAGGGAGAGAATAAACGTGAAGAGATGTCAGAGGACCTCAGTAAGATTGTGGCTTGGTGCACTCCGTAAATGGGGCGTTCAGCTGCTCAGTTTCCTTATCTGTGGGATGGAGTTATTTCAAACAATACCCACTGGAGGGTTCCATGAGATCGTAAAGTGTGGCATACTGCCTGCCTTTTGTGCTTGGAAGGTGCTGTCAGAGTCCGGGGTGTTTTTGTTATTAGTTACAGGTGGTGGTGTTTTCAAACAGGGTTTCACCGTGTAGCCAGAAGGGCCTCAAACTCACAAGCCTGCCTCAGCCTCCCGAGTGCTAGACTTAATAGGCCTGAAGCACAGGGCCCACCTTCAAAATATTTGTTTACCCATGCCAGGACACAGGTACTGCCATGCCTAATCTGCAATTATTTTTCAAAGAATAAAATGGCTTTTATACAAAAGTTTCCTTTTGGTTTACTAACTAACACTATCAGATGCACGTCTTGGATGCATTGCAAGACCTATACACCAGAGAGAGCAGTGTTTCCTGTTCTCCCCTGAGGTAGAAGGCCGGGCTTCTCTCTTCCCCAATCTTAACCCTATAAGGAGATTCTCTCTCTCTCTCTCTCTCTCTCTCTCTCTCTCTCTCTCTCTCTCTCTCTCTCTCACACACACACACACACACACACACACACACACACACACACACACACACACATCTCCCCGAGACAGGGTTTCCCTGTGTAACATCCCTGGCTGTCCTGGAACTAGCTCTATAGACCCGGCTAGCCTCTAACTCACAGAGATCGCCCTGCCTCCACCTCCTAAATTCTGGGACTGAAGGCGTGCACCACCACCGCCCAGGAAGAGATTTTAATATGCTTCAGAGGCAACCTGGGGACCCGATGTTCAGTCATCAAATGGAGTCAGAGCCGCCAGCTGTGTGTGCTGTGCTGCTGCTGTCCCTGAACGGCCACAGCTCTGCTAGGGGTTCTGGTCCCTTCCCCCTTGGAGATCAATCAACACCCAGCTTCTGCCAGCCTGGTGGGTTTCCCAGACAGCTACCTACCTTCTGGATTCTTCCCCAACACTCAGCACTGACTCTGCAGAGGCTTCCTATTTGCCTCTATTCCAACTGCCAGACTTAGCTCTGGACTCAAAAATTATATGGGAATAATGTCACATGCTTTCTGTTGTCTACCTCTGCAGACCTTTGCTCATGCGGGTGTTCCCAGGCTGGGTGCCCTAGTCACGTTGCTATGGCACCCACCACAGGCTCTAGTGTTCTTCCCATCCCTTTGGGCTGTCCTGATCACACCACATGGCCTGTAGGACCCTCCCAGCTTGCTGGGCAAGGACATCACCCCGTGCTGGACTACGGCCCAGAGCTCCATTCCCCTGCCCTGGCCCTCAGCCAGAAATGCTCGCAAGTATAGAAAGGATTTGTAAGATGCTACAGCAGTACAATGTGAAGTGTGGGCTTATTATACACTGAGAATTAGTTCTAAATTAAGGGCATAAAGAGTTACAGTTCTTAGATTTTAAAAAAGGAAGCCACTTATGCTGGTTCCCCCCCCCTTTTTTTCTCTTTCTTTCTTTCTTTTTTCTTTCTTTCTTTCTTTTTACTTTCTTTTCTTTCTTTCTTTTTTTTGTCAACTTGACATAAGCTGGAGTTATCTGGGAAAAGGGAGCCTCAATTGAGGAACTGCCTCCATCAGATTGGCTTTTAAATCTGTGGGGTAATTTCCTGGCGGATGTGGAGGGCCTTGTTAGGCAGGTGTTCCTGAGTTATGTAAGGCAAAGTGAGCAGGTAGGTCACAAGAGCAAGCCAGTGAGCAGTGTCCCTCCATGTTCTCTGCTCCAGTTCCTGCATCCGGGTCCCCGCATCCGGGTCCCCGCATCCAGGTTCCCGCATCCGGGTCCCGCATCCGAGTTCCCGCATCCAGGTCCCCGCATCCGGGTCCCGCATCCGGGTTCCCGCCTTGACTCCCTGCCTTGGCTTCCTTCAGTGATGGGCTGTGAGCTGTAAGGTGAAATGAACCCTTTCCCCATCTAAGCTGTTTTTGGTCATGGTCTTTACTGCAGCAATAGAAATCGAGCTAACATACCACTGCGAAGAAATGTACTGAATCTGGCTACATGAACAGTTTTGTAAGTTGACTTCTTTTGGAGTGGAAACATTTATGAAATAAATGCCTAAGACAGGCCCTGTGGTGCTCCCAGCAAGGGAACCACTCATCCTTGCTACCAGGTTTGACCATAGTGACCACACTAACAGAGGCCTATATATCTTTTGGACAGTGGTTTTTTAATTCTACAGTTCCAATACCACCCCACCCATCAACACCAAGGTTATCTGCAACCCTAACAGCAATAAATGTAAATGGTACTTCATGGTATTGGGTGGGCAGGAGTCAGGAAGCCTCGACATCATCACACAGCCCTGTGGTTCTCATGTCTTGCTGCCCACCTCACACTCCACCCTCATATCACAGCACTCAGGAAAACACTAACATCAGCTAAAATTCAGTCATGACAGTGGCGACCAAGACGAGAGTTAACTGACAGTTAACCATAGTTTTGAAAATGCTGTGCTGGCCACATTGCCTACAGGAGCTACCTCAAGACCTCCCTGATGGGGAAGCACCATTGTCACTGTCCCACCTACACATCAGCAAACAGTAACTAAGGGGCCTTGCTAATGTCACCGGACAACCAGGTCTAGGAACACCACCCACTGAGAGTCAAGACAGCTCCGGAATCCTCATCTGAGATACAGTGAGAGAGATGTCCTTGCCTCAGAGAGAGGGACAGGGAGAGAGGGAGAGAGAGAGAGGGAGAGAGAGAGAGAGAGAGAGAGAGAGAGAGAGAGAGAGAGAGAGAGAGAGAGAGAGAAGAGAAGAGAAGAGAAGAGAAGAGGAGAGGAGAGGAGAGGAGAGAAGCGAAGAGAAGAGGAGAGGAGAGAGGAAAGGGGGCGGGGAGTCAAGCTCTGGAGTACTGAACACATTCCCAGATGGCAGGTGCTGCTTTCATACTTTCCAGATGCATGTGAGCATTTCCTCTTCATCAGTTAAACCCATTCATCCCTGGTGCACAGGAGTTGTTGGGAATATATATATTTCCATTTCCAACTACATACTTATCACAATGTATTATGAATTACATAAGTCTTTCCTGGCCAGTCTTATCTCAGTCTGTGTGATGAATGGGTAGAAATGGAAGTTAAATCAGGTACCTCACTCAAAATACTTGAGGGTCAGATAGTCTCTGGATGGAAGAACTGGTTTATTGTTGTTATTGTTTTAGACAGGGTCTCTGTGTAACCCCAACTCTCCTGGATCTCACTATGTAGAGCAGGCTGACATTGAACTCACAGAAATCTGCCTGTCTTTGCCATGCAAGTGCTGGGGTTAAAGGTGTGCACCACTGCACCTGGCAAGAGCTGATTTCTTTTTTTCTTTTCTTTCCTTTTTTTTTTGGTTTTTCGAGACAGGGTTTCTCTGTGTAACTTTGTGCCTTTTCTGGAACTCGCTTTGTAGACCAGGGTGGCCTCGAACTCACAGAGATCCACCTGCCTCTGCCTCCTGAGTGCTGGGATTAAAGGTGCGCGCTACCACCGCCCGGGAAGAGCTGATTTCTAAATCAGTTGTTTAGAAGCAGAAGCATACTTTCCTTCTCCTGCGTATATATTATATCAAAGGAATAAGGTTCCAAAGCTAGCCCATTTATAGCCTCTTGAAGCAACCTGCAAAACTCATTTCTTCTCTTTCAATGTTCCCAAGCTGTATTAGAGCAAGGGTTCCTGGAATCGGAGACAGATGTCAGCAGCAAACATCCCAGCCCTCTGGTCCTACCAAACCAAGGCCCTAGAGATGATGTGATGATCTGAGGCCCGAGAGGGCAGAGACTTTGCTTTTAGTTCAGCCATTGAAAAAACGTGGTACCCAGGGAGGTCTGTGCAAAGGAACAGGGAGCTTGGTTTGGATTCACATCTCCCACTCACTGGCATACGTCCTGTCCCTCTAGTTTCTGACCTGACAGGGACTGGTCTGGGCTTTGAACACGATGACTCTAAATTTGGGAACCTTTGAATTTGTCAAAGAAATGAAGCTGCCTGCTTGGAAAGCCATCCTCAGGAACCCATGGCCCAGACTCTTTCCAGCTAGGAAGCTGTAGGTCTAATCACGAGAGCCAGGGTGTTGCTCATTGGTTTCTGTCACCATCATCGCTCTAGGATGACATTTTCGGGTTGTCAGGCATCAAAGGGCCAACGTTTAGTTGTTTTCATTTTAAGAAACACCCTAACGAAAACAGGTGTGTTCTCAGGGTGAGGTATGAGTGGCATGGCGTGACGACAAAGTACAGCTAACAACTGTGTAGGGACGGGAAGGTTGTCCATTCCTGAGTAGCTCTGCTCCCATTTCCCCAAGAAGTGACCACCTCTCCTCCTACCTCGTCCCTGTTCTACACAGAAGGGGTTCAGTGAAAGCACAGCTTTCCCACAGATACTGTCTGCAGCATGCCCATGCCCGACTCCCAGGACGTAACTGCAGCATTTCCACGTCCCCAAATCTTTAAACTCATCTTCACCCCACTGTCCACTGTCTGGAGCAGCCATCCCTCTTCATGACATGTGTCTAGCTTGTCCTTGGGAGATCTTTGGCTGTGCCTTCCTAGAGGAAGCTTTCCCTAGCCCCTGAGATACAACCTGAATCTCCCTCTTTGTTCTCAAGCTGCCTGTCTTCCTCTATTTTGATCCCTTGGCTACCCTATTTGTTACTGTTCACTTACTGCCTCCCGCTCAGGCTATCACACCATGGGACTAAGGCTTTTGTCCGATCAAGTCACTCTTGCATTCCCACCCTCCAGGGCAGTTCTTGACACATAACAAGTTTTTGATGAATGATGCTGAAGATATATACAGTGGCTTAATGGGGAGACTAATGTTCCTAAGATTACTTATCAATACCACAGGCTCTAGAACCCCACATCCCCATGTGACCCAGTGCTCACCAATTCTTGCCAGGATCACACCTGAGAAGAGCAAGCTGATAGAGATGCAAGAGTCAGGCTGCTCAGGGTCCTGCTGGCCATCAAACAAGACTGTACTATTGGTCCAGTGGATAGGAGAGTGGTCAGGGAAGATGGGTTGATTTAGATTTCTTTCAAAGGTGTAAACATGTGCCTGGCCATCTTTTAGCATCTCATGATTTGAAGAGGAATTCTTGCTTAATGGGAGGGAGAAGGTAGCCATATCAAAAGGACTTCCAGGAGCAAAGACAGAAAACACACAGAGTGTTAGGCTACCTAAATGGAGGCAACTGGAAATGATCCCTGTGGTGACCAAGCCATAATGATTCCGGAACTGGGTAAAGAGAATTGTTCCCATGAGGCCAGACACAGCTGGAAGGGCTGTGAGGATGCTGAGGAGGGAGCCTCCAATGCCCTGGGTGTAGGCATAGCATGTGGTAATGCAGTCAACGCCCAGAACTGTCATGTAGAGGAAAGTCAAACCTAAGCCAGCCAGGAAGACAGTCTGTCCGCAGTACATTTCCCATCCCTCCCGGCATGTGTGGAGCAGCCTACGGGTGTCTTGCAGGCAGTGAAGAAGCCCTTTGGTTGTGGCTGGTTGTTCTTCAAGGCTAGAATTGTGGTCCTTCGGTTTTTCCAGAGTTCTAGATGTGTTGATGAATCTATTCGTGGTTTCCAAAAACTCCGTTTCACCTAAAATAAAATTCAGATAAGCTTAAACTCAATACACAACAATCTCCCTTAGTCGTCCATCCCAGACTCCTCTGCTTCCACGTTGGACAGTTCCTGTGCATACCCCCAGCTTCCCTTCCTCAGGCACCTGGGACTTGCTGCAGGTGCTGGAATGTGATTAGTATTCTGTAAGTTCTCTAGAGAACAAATCTCACCAATGAGTGACAGAAGTTGCTGGACCAACACTCCCATCTTCTTGGCCTTTAGTGGGACAGTCCTGAGGTACATCCTACACGGCATCTCTGTATGAGCTTTTCTCCCTGCCCTTTCCTGTTCCACTTCCCTTCCCTCTCCCTCCTTCCTGGGTCACATTCTAAACAGAGTACTTTCACCCTGGAGTCTTGTCTCAAGATGTGCTCAGGAGAGAATGAAACCAAGACACAGAGGGCAGGCATGGGAAGTGAAGGGCTGCTTCAGGGAGTGGGAAGACAAACTGTCACACGCTGGAAGTGTGCGGATGAGCTCCTAGAAGTTGTTGTGAGTGCTTACTTGGTTACTCTTTCTAAAGAGGTAGATACTTGAGGAGGTAGATCAGAAATATACAACTATTTTAGAGGTATTCAGCACAATGAAGTCAAGTCCTATAGAGGTCTAGAGGAGTCACGTAGGGCTCTGAAGGAAGGAGAGGGCTGGGGGAACAAATAACAGGACAAGAGGTGGGAGCTTTCCATTATACAAAAGAACTTACTGCCAGGTAACTAGAAACAAAGATGCTAATAAACCAACAACAATGGAAACACAGCTAACACTGACTTCAGTCTTACTGTGTGGGAGGGGATAAAACTAGGCTTTGCATAGACTACCCTACTTAATCCTCACAGTGTCCTGGTGAAATTAGTTCTGTGGTTGTTCTTACTTTGCAGAGAGGCAGAGAATATGAAATGAAGTAACCATGAAAGCTCAGACAGGCAGCTCAGAGGAGATGGGAAGGACGCACCCCATCTATTGATCTACCACTTCTGTATCTACCCACCTATCCATTCATCATCTAAATATCACCTCTACATATTTATCTCTCCAAATGCATGCATTTCATTCATGAATCTGATTTAGTGGTCTTTATCTAAAAAATAACTTGAGAAAAATGAGTGCTAATCATAAACCCCTAAAGAGAACTGAGTCAACCAGGCAGATGGGTGACTTTGTCATAGGTGAAGATGGCTCTTACTTGAGGAGAGTGAGGTCATATCTACTGACATGCCTCTGCCCCTGTTCATCCCCACATACTTAGAAATTTCTGATTTTAAACAAACACTGCAGGAATACACTATATTATCTTGATCAAAGGGTAGCCCATACTCCTTGACATATTTGCATCTCTTAAGTTTAGGAGCATTGGGAAAGGTGTTCATCAGCAAGATGGAAAGGAGTAATTTGTCTCCCAAGATGCTGGGACAGGCTGTGCAGGTTGTATCCTGCATTCCCACAGGGGTGCAACTTGTACTGGACCTTCTTTCAGTGGAGTCCCTGAAGTTAAACACAATCCAGTTAACTGTACAAAGTAACCCTGCCTGCCCCACCAATGTGGTTAAGTCATATGAACTTCATGACCATTGGCACAGCTGCAGCCCTCTCGTTTATTACTGTTCTTAGGTACAACTGCAAACAAAATATTAAGATTGTGGTTAGACACATGGTCTGGAAAGAAGAAATGAAACACTAACATGAGCTCCCTCTGAGTTCGCCTTACCTTGGATGTGCACAGCTTCCTGCTGCCTCTCTAGGAAGCACTGTGCTGTGTGCCGCTGGGGTTTCACAGCCAACTGGGGAACTAGTTGATAAACCCTGGACAGAAATAGAAACTCTACAAGAAGTGAAACCAAGTTCCATCCAAGAATGAAACCACAACCAATCACATGAGATGCCCACGTCATCACCTGGCCCACGGACAGGGGCGCGAATATACTGATGACTGGTCCAGCCACGGCACTGTTGCATTCATCCCTGCAAGGGAGAGGAGGAGACACTGAGACTCGGTGGATGGATGCCTCCTTCCTCCTGCTGAACTTGACACTGCGTATTCGCTGGGCTCAACAGCCAACCCAGGGTCAATGCCGGCAGGTTGTCTGCAGATTAGCGATGGCCTTTTCAACCTGGAAAACAACTGCAAGACCAGCTGCAGTGGGATGTGAGCAGATTAGTAAACTGACTAGGTTACCCATGGTCTTGACTATGCTAATCGTAGTAATGGCCACTAATTAATAACCAGCACGGTGGTGGGGGAAGGGAGGTAACGGGAGGGTAGAGGAGAATGGCTTGAATTCTTACGTTGTGCCAGGCATACAGTCCCAAACCTTATACCTACATTCATCTCTGTGAGTCCCCACAGTTCTAAGAAGGCAATGGGACTTCCATTTTACAAGTTACGAAACTGAGGCACACAGAGGGGAAACTTTTATCGGGATTGCAGAGAAAGAACATTATGGAGCCGAGACTCAAAATCCAGCCAGTCTGACTCCAAAGCTCATGGATTCTACCACCACTGAAGAAAATATTCACAAGTTCATCTTCAAACTTGTAATAAACTTGAGTCCAAGTCTGCTTTACCTTGAAGTCTTTTAAAATGAATGCACAGAGAACAGGAAGGTTTTCCTGACACCAAGACCGAGGACGCACTGAACTATCACCTGGCTTTTATTCACACGGCTCTTATTCTGGGTGATGTTACGGAAGCCACAGTACATCCAAGTGAGTGCAGTTTAAAAGAAAACATGATGATAAGGGCTTTGACTCTTCAAGGAGTGTATTTTAGACTCCTTAATAGTGCCCTTTATCTTGGCCATCAACACTCAGGCACTACAACTGCTCAAGTATAGGGTATCGTGAGATCTTCAGCTCTAAGTGGGCAATTAGAACACGCTGCAATGAGAACTGTGCATGCTTTCTAAATGGGAGGACAAGACAAGATGTCAGGCTGCTCCTTCCCACTCCTTTACTAGAAAACGAATTCCGGCTTCCACTATCAGCAGTAATCAATGCTCCCACTTGGGATAATTTGGGGGTGGGCAGAAGGTTATTACTGATGTGAATTTAGAAATCTTTTCATTCACTTACTGTCTAGGTCTAAAATGGCTCCAGACCATCTGTAAATGAGAAGCTGCCCTCCTGACCCACCATCTACCTGTGCGTTAGGTGAGAACAGTGATGGTCATTTCTTGGGTATTCCTTCTGTGCAGATTTGTGCTAAGCACTTACAAAACCCTGATTTCATGAACTCCTTCCTTCCCCAAAGTGAGCTCAGAGAGAATGAATGTGTATGTGAACATGCATGCATGTAAGTGTGTGTGTGTGTGTGTGTGTGTGTGTGTGTGTGTGTGTGTGTGTGTGTGTGTGTATTTGCCCCATGCTGCAGATGAGGAAAGTCGAGTTCAGAGAGGTTAAGTAACTTGCCCCAGGACACGCAGCAGGTAAGAGAGATAGCGGGTTTCAGCTGAAGTCAATCCCAGCTCTGGTTGGTTCCAAATTCCTGTCTTCTATAGGCTATGATATGGCCTCTCCTGGAGCCCTGAATGGCTCGCCACTCTACTTCTCTGCCCATCGGAGGACTGGTGAGGGTGGCACTGCTCACCAGCCAGCTGGCCTCTGTTGTCCCCCATGAGACTCACAATCCAGTCCCTCTGAATGGTGATAGTAAGTGCAGTGCCAGCCAGGTTTGCCACAGCCGCTAGGGTAGTCACCACAGCATAGCAGACCACCTACCAGAGGAGGGAAGAAGAGGCCAAGAATAGACCTTCCGGCCCAGGGTGGAACACGGTCATTTGTCTGACAGCCAGAGGAGCACAGAAATGAACCCTTTGAGAGGAAATGAAACCTTTGAGAGGAAAAGGCTCTATGTTAAGTCTAAGTCAAGTGCACGTTCTTCCTCTCACCCGTCAGCACCAGATGCGATGCTAATTTGTACCTTGCAGACAGACGCTGCGGCTCTACTGCCACGCTCGCTGTGGGGTTTGGGCTCCAACTCAGAAACTAGGGGCCACGAGGGCACCGATGAAAGGGCACAGTGAGGCAGCTAGGCAGAGAGCGCCTCCCAACAGACACTTGGGGGTGTTGATGACATGCACTCTCATGAGGCAGGTGTCAGAGGGGAGACACTCACAGTGAGCCAGCCATGCCGGAGTCGCTCCATCTCCCTCTTGTAGGAAAACACCAGCATCAGGACCACACAGCAGGCAGCGACGGAAACATTCTGAATGAAGAGCGAGGCGTGAGCAACTGCAAACGGAAACGCACAGGGCCCGCTACTTACTGGTGGTTTTAAGAGGCAGATCACAGCTACCTAGTCACCACGCAGCGCAGGGCCATTGTGTCTGACCACGTGCTTGTGCCCACCAGGCTCATCATTTCCGTCAGCGGCTCCAGGCTTAGGTAGGACTCAAAAGGCAGGCTCCGCAATCGATCGCCAAAGCCTTTGCAACACAATTAAAAAAACAGAAAAACCAACTGGGCAAAACCAGAGCTGAACTTTGCAAGTGAAGGAAGGTATGCTGGGCAAGAAAGACGACCCAAACAAAAACAAAACAAAACCCACAAACAACAGTCAAAGGCAAAACCAACCAACCAACCAAACAAACAAACAAACAAGACAACAAAACACAAAACCAAGTTCCAGCTAATTTAAATAACTCCAAATTCTATGGCTACCTCGGACTCACCTGGATTTAATCTCTAATGGAGGTTTATCAATTGGGCCTAAGGAGTAATGCTCGGGTCTTAAAGCAATTGACTTTTCTATGATCTGTCTCTCCAAATCTGTTGAGTGTGATAAAAACAGCCTTGCTGACTAGTGATCAAAAGAACTGCACAGTTTAGCAAGGCCTAGGTTTTTACTGGGCAAGGGGGATTTTGTGAACACACTATCACTAAACATTAAAGGAGATCTCAATTTGAGCAAATAAGTCTCCTGATGCTGAGGCTAGGTATCTGGTACAGGGGAGATCTTTTACACATAGCAACTGTCTTGACTGAAAATAAACATGTGTACTGACTGCATAGGTAACCCTAGAATATTAAGAGAAAACATGCTTTCCAGTAATTCAGTACTAAGAACTTGTACATGGTAAGAACTAAAACCCTAAGTCTTGTGGTGGTGACATGTAGTCGGAAGGTTTCTCCAGTCCCGCAGCTGTTCGGACCCAAGTAAACACATAGAGGCTTATATTATTTACAAACTGTGTGGTCTGTGGCAGGCCTCTTGCTAGCTATCTCTTATATCTTAAATTATTCTGTTTTGCCCCGTGTTTCATGGCTTACTGGTCTGCTGGCATGTTGTTCCTTGGACAGCAGGCTGGCGTCTCTTCTGCCTCTGCCTTTCTCCTTCCTGTCTCTCTCTTGGATTTCCTGCCTGGCTATAACCTGACTCACCATAGGCCAGAGCAGCTTCTTTATTAACCAATCACAGCAACACATTCACAGCATACAGAAAGACATCCCACAGCAGTGGCACACGCCTTTAATCCCAGCACTAGGGAGGCAGATGCAGGTGGATCTCTGTGAGTAGCCTGGTCTACAGAGCAAGTTCCAGGACAGTCAGGGCCACATGGAGAAACCCTGTCTAGGAAAAAGAAACAAAACAAGCAAGCAAACATATATATATATAAAACCCCGTTCAAGGACTCAGGTATGTGACAGAGTGCTTGCCCATCATGTGTGATGCTCTGAGCTTGAGCCATAGCACTGCACAATAATCACCAACTAAATCACACTGATGTGTTTAAAATGGAGAAATTGAGATGTGACCCAAAGCTGAACAACTCTTTCCATGGAGTTTTTCAGTTAAGCCCCAATGCTATTTAGCACAGTTTGGTGATTTTATTTCATAGTGTGAAGTCCTGAAGCTGGTGAGGTCATAACCTGTCACATGTCATCTGCATCCCAAAGAAAAGTATTACCTTTATTTCTTGGTTTCCTGTCGATCCAGTCACCAATTAAAACCCCAAATATTAACACAGAGCCGGCCACCACTAAGCCAAACACCACAGTAAGGAGAAGATTGTGTCCATAGAGCTCTATCAGGAACACAGACATAGCAAAGTGCCACATTCCATCTCCCTGCAAGACAGAAAGGCAAAGCTTTAATCACTGAGAACGGTGGAGGAAAAGTAACTCCAGGAAGATAATGTTGGGCACACCAACCTTAAAAACAGAATAGCAAAAGCATACTTTGATGGAGAGCAACTATGACTTTATTTATGCACTGCATTTATGACCTTAATTTTTTTTAAATCAAAAGCATAAAAGAACAAATAAGCTAATGAGAAAATATCAAACACTTAGAAGAAATCACCACCACCAGGACACCCTGAGACCATCTGTGGGTCAAAAGCAACAGATGAACCAGCCCTGGAGCCCTGTTTGCTTCAGAATATCAGCCGCAAGAAGCACTTGGAACCACACCTCAGGGCAAGGGGGGTGAAGGAAAAGCAAGGCAATCCTTATGTGGGCTCTCAGTCCAGCTGCCCCTTATCTGCAGGGTCCAGGAGATCTCTCCTTAGACCTGAATTAATCAGTGCTCACCAGCATTATCATTCCCATCAGCAATTTCAAACTGAGGTCAGGGACAAACAGCTAGCACCCTCCACGCATCTGAGAAGAGACAACTAACTGTAGGCCTTTTGAAAATATCTTAGGCTCCAAAGTACTCTTTTTTTTTTTTTTTTTTAATTTATATTTTATGTATGAGTGCTCTGCATGCATACCTGCACACCAGAAGAGGGCATCAGATCTCATTACAGATGGTTGTGAGCCACCATGTGGGTGCTGGGAATTGAACTCAGGACCTCTGGAAGAACAGCCAGTGCTCTTAACCCCTGAGCCATGTCTCCAGCCCCCAAAGTATTCTTGCAGTCACTTTTAAACAGACTGTGCAGCACGTGGTCAAAGACAGCCAGTCAGGGAAGGCAAGGGAAACACTGCAGACGAAATCCACAATGAGCAATAGCAGAGACAGGCCCACGGAGGAGACCGCACAGAGCTGGGTTATCAGCCACAGGCGGTAAAATCATGGTTATTCTACCAAAAGCAATGCCAAGTCTGGCAATCTGAGCAGGGAGTCAGAAAGCATTTAAAACAAACAAATAAACAAATAAACAAAACTTCTAGAGCTGATCATAGAACAATAGAAGCTAAACTTAAAAGCTCAACTGTTAGCAGCTGGATACGGTGCTGCACACCTGCTGCAAATCCTAGCTCTTAGGAGGCGGAGGCAGGAGGATGGAAGGTAGTAGATTAGATAGAACTCAAGTCTGTTTAACTGTTAATATATCTGAAGAAGCAACTTAGAATGAAGCCCAGAAAGATAAAATGATAAGGAGACGAGAACACAGTAAGGCCAAGTAGAAAGAAAAGACAGTACATAACAGACTTAAATAGAACATTAGTTACTGTTAGGTCTCAAGCCTAGGGCAAATGGCTGAGATACCTATTAACATGTCAAAGCAGACCCTGGTTGACAGATTATCCCAGCATCCCTCAGTCCCTACCTGTTACAGGGTCCTCTTGGCTAAAATACACAACCCCTAGCAAGGTATGAACTCTCCAGCCCAGAGGCTGGGCTGTGCTTCCTTTCCCCAGCTGCTCTTCCCAATATAATCCAGCCATTATGACAATGACAGCCCTTTTTACCCTTTACCTCCCTGGCCTCTTGAGCTCCTGGTCTCCTGACTTTTCCCTCTCCCCTCCCCCTCTCAGTCTCACAAGGCTTAGGGTTGTGCTTTCACTCTGGTCTCTCCCAGATGTCTCTGCCTCTGCCTATGCTTTCTCTCATTTCTACAATAAACCTTCTCCTCCACCACACCTAGGAGCAGTCATGTCCTATTATGGTGGTATTTTATTTGTACTGAAATGTGATTTTAATTGTATGTTAATAAATAAAGTTGCCCGGGGGTCAGAGCTATTAGAGCCATAGCAAAAGCTGGGTGGTGGTGGCGCACGCCTTTAATCCCAGCACTTGGTAGACAGAGCTAGGTAGATCTCTGTGTGTTCAAGGATATAGCCAGCATTGGAGACACACGCCTTTAATCTCAATACCAACCATAGAAGACCTGGAAGTCTCTACAGACAGGCAGTGACGAGGCAGTCATGTGTTTGGGTTTACAACCAATGAGAAGGCAGAACAGCTAGACTATATAAAGACATACACACAGGAAGTAGGTCCCTTTCGGAGAGCTCTCTTGGCTGAAGAGAATCGCTGAATCAGGAAGGGTGAGGCTCTTAGCTCTGACTTCTTGGCTTTCTTCTCTGAATCGGCTCTGTGTTTCTTATTTAATAAGACAGTTGGTTACATCTACATCCTATCTCTCTCTCTCTCTCTCTCTCTCTCTCTCTCTCTCTCTCATTCAGTTATCTGAAGAACCAGCCTGCCTTCATTTTAGGCTTAAAAGCCATCTTATAGCAAAGACAAACTGGATTTGTTCCTATTTATGATTAAACCTTTGTTTCTTAAGGATTGGGCTATGCCTCACCTATAACCTTAACTACAAATGGTTCTGTACTGCCTGTTCCAGGAATAGCAATCATGTTTTTGTTTCAAAAAGTTGTTTATAAACATCTTGCAACCCTACCTCTGTTTCAAAAGATTATATGATCGGGTTGGGGATTTAGCTCAGTGGTAGAGTGTTTGCCTAGCAAGCGCAAGGCCCTGGGTTCAGTCCTCAGCTCCGGGGGGAAAAAAAAAAGATTATATGATCACTTATGACTACCTGTTGTTACAACTACCTTGTTATGTCTACTTTACAACCATGTCTTTGTCTCAGGAGGTCATTAGGACTAACTTGTCATGATGTTCTGCTCCTGTAATCCCGCCTATTTTGCCTGTCAAATCCCCATTAGGAAACTGCTATTCCTGAGCTATAAAAGCCTTATCATCTCCATATCCAATGCTGACCTCTTGGGGGAAGGCACCCTGTGTACATGAATTTAAAAATCTTGCTTTAACTAATTGCTTGCTTTAATTAATTTGGCCATGATGATTTGGGTCAGTGATCTTTCTCCTGTCTTTGGGGTTAGCACACTAACTAGTAAAGGTGAACTAACTATGCCAGTTAAAGGCTAAGGTTGACAAATTGGACTTTACAATATAACTATATTCTGTTTAAAGATAAGTATTTCTAAAAAAAAAATAATAAGAAACCACAGAAGTAAAGGATGAGTAATGATGTAGCATGTAAATGTTATCTCACAGAAACTCACATCATTAAATTCACATCAGGCAAAGCCTACTCCAGAGTTTAAAGCATTACCTGAAGCAAAAGGAGTCGCTTTATACTGATGAAAGTTTGATTCAT